GGGGAATTCTGGGAGTTGAAGTCCGCACATCTTAAAGTTGCCAAGGTTGAGAAACACTGATCTAGGGCTTCATCCAACCATTCCCAACCTGATGCCCTCCAGATGTGCTGGGAATTTGGGGAGTTGCAGTTCCAACTTATTTAGACTGTTCCAGGTTGGACAACACTAGAGTAGGTTTTGCTGAAAATTGGAGCCACGCTTTCTTCTTTTACTTCTGGATTAAAAGAAGCTAGGGAGTCCTGTTGCATTGTCTTAATATCTGAATGCAAATTTTAGTGAAAAGCATGGAAATATGAAAAACAGTTACTGGAATGGACATTAGACTCACCTAACCACATAGGGCCGTAGCTAAAATGTGAAGCCACAGTTAGCTGCAGGGGGAAATTTGATAACCAAGAAATTCCCTTCTTTGGGACTGGAACAAGAAACTGGTTTGTCATGTCCTCTGAGGCCAGGTTTTTCAAATATTTTTTTATTATTCTGAGCATGAAATAGGGTTCTAAGTCCTTTCAGAAGCAGAAATATAGCCTCAGCCATCATCTCTGTTGTCAGTGCACACCTGAAGGATCTTTTTGAATATATAATTGTAAAAGTCAGATGTGCCTACCATAAAATGTTGCAGCTTGGAGGACTTCGTCTGCAAATTCTAATCTGTTGGTCATTCCGCCCTTCCTCTTCCTACTTGGCTCTTGTTGCCATTAATCTGTGCATCAATGCTTAATTTAGAATTTGTGGGACAGTTAACAAACAACAAGTATGCTAAGGGAGACACCAGGACAGTAATAAGCCTTGAAAAAGTTTATTAAGAAACTGCCCCTGAACATACTTAACAGCATCAGAAGGATATGACCCCAAACAACCGGGTGAGCCCAAATGGCAGGGAAGGGTTGCCGAACACAACTCATGAGGAAGCTGGGAAAAAGAGTAAATCTTATAGCCCTTTTTCCCCACTCTCCCACCCCTTGGAATCCTCACCTGGGTTCTGGGACAACTAGCAAGGGGAAATTAATGTTTGTATTTACACTCATTGGAGAGGAAGAGATTACAAGAGAGCAAGCAGGCACACAATGAGGAATACACCTTGAAAGGAATGCCTTAGCAAGGGCATGCTGGAGCCACCAGGTGCTTAGGAGGCAAAAGAAAGCCTTTAGGGTGAAACTGATTAAGGTCTAGCCAGTTTCAGGCAGCAGCAGTGGAGAGTGCTAATTAGCTAATTAAGGCCACAGAGCTGAGCTTGTTAACCTGCAGTTAGCACTTTTTAGGGGCTAGCTAAGCTGGGAAGAAAAGCAGTTCAGGGAAGAAATAGCTTGTTTAAGCAATCCCTCCTTTCTGCAAGGGGAGAAATTCTGCAGAGGGGAAAAGGAAAAACAAAAATACAGGTCAAGCACAGGACAGCTCTTTATTCCACTGAGTGTGCTTAGTTTTCACTGGGCTGTTCAAAGAATTTTCCCACCTCTGTTTTTTATCCGAAATTATTATTATTTTAATTCTACAAACTTGTTGCTTTCCACAAGCCTACTGATAACTCCTGTTTTGACATTGTGTGACAAGGCCCTGCAGTTTTCTTGGCAAGGTTTTGGAAGTGGCTTGCCCTTGCCTCCTCCTGAGGGCTGAGAGAGAGTGACTGGCTCAAGGTCACCCAGCTGGCTTTGTGCCTAAGAGGGGACTACAACTGATAGGCTTCCGGTTTCTACATCCACCCTAACTCTTGGAAATAAATGAAAGAATAATTTCCTCAAATGTTCTGTTCTTGCCAATAATCTGTCATGAAGAACTCCATAGCGACTGCAAAGGCTGACGAATGTAAAACTCTGCTTTGGTCTGCTTGAAGAGCATTTTGTGGTCAGCACTGTTCTGGGTTTATTATTGTTTTTTTCCTCCATTGTGGAATATATACAAGTAGTCTTTGCTTAACGACCGTATTTGGAGCTCAGAATTTCTATCACTGTGTGAAACAGCTGTTAGGCGAAACATCACGTGACCATACCAGTTAGCGACGGCAGTTCTGACCTTTGTCATCTTCTTCCTCCTGCTGCTGGCAGGGTACGCCCAGTCTGGCCCTTCACAAGGCAGTTGTTGACTGTGTGCCTTCCTGAGATAGCAAAGGTCAGCTGGGGGCGGCAGAGGATAGGGCAGGGGCAATGGAGTGCAGGGTGGCCAAAAGGACAGAGATGGGGGGGACATAGGCAGGTGGGGGGAGTTGAAGCGCACCCTGCAGTCATAAATGCGGGCAGGCTGCCAAGTGCCCAAATTTTGATCATGTGACTGTGGGGGGCACTGCAATGGCTGTAAATTCGAGGACCAGTCATTAATAGCATTAGTTCAGTGCCATTGTTAACTTCAAATGGTCGCTGAACAAATGGTCATTAAGCAAGGACTACCTGTAATGGTCCCATAACTCAATGAGTTGCTGTAGGAATCCATGCAAAAGATATTATTGGAGTCTCCATTATAAGTGGAAATACACAGACAATGTTTCCATTATAATATATAAATTAACAAAAATAAAATATAAATTAATAATTTTATAAAAATAAATATAATGTCTCCATTATAAGTGGAAATACGCATTGGAAATATTGTGAATTCTTTACCAGCTGCTGTTGGGTTGTATGTTTATGATGTATTAACAGCCTTCTGGCTTTATGTGGTCTTTCAGAAATGTTTAGAGGGAGTAGAGAATCAATTTAAGGACAAGTATTAAAAAGGAGTCTTGATGCTTTACTGAAGCACGATGTTTGTAGACTTTTCAACAGAGAAGAGGAAAAGTCATAGGTGCAAGTGATAAGTCTGGCTAAAAGAAGATTTCTTGGTAGATTCTCAAGCTGCCATATGATGAAAACCATTGGCCAGAAAGCAGTTTTCAGGGCCTAGTAAACTGCAGAGTAGAATTTCACAGTGCTACCAGGTAAACCCAAGAAGCTACTCTACTGGTGCTATTACTAAATAACTCATATGGAAACTATATCTTCCAAGAGGAATAATGTATTCTCAAGAAGAATACATTGAGTTGTGAAAGCAACTGAACCACAGTCTGCCCATTCTGGACCCACTGAGTTTGTATCTCTGTGCAAATTCAGTGAATCTGAGAATTCAGAGGATGCATTTAGGTCATTGTGTACACCAGTGTTGTCCAAACTTGGCCACTTTAAGATGAGTGGACTTCAACTCCCAGAATTCCCCAGCCAGCATGTTGAAGTCCACTCATCTTAAAGTGGCCAAGTTTGGACAACACTGGTGTACGATGATGCCGAATGCAAGAATCTGTTGGAGGTCTCCACTTGATGACCTCTGACAAAGGAGAGCCCACTCCTCTTGCATCATTGGTTGTCCTATCAAACTGCTCTTAACTTCTAGGAAGTTTTTCTCTGACCTTCAATCCCCATATATCTTCCTGTCACATAAGTCCAGTCCTCTGTGTCCTGCCGTCTGGAACAAGAGAGAGTAGGTTTTAACCTTCGTGTGACATTTTTCAAAAGTTTTTCTGAAATAGTATTTCTCCGCAGTCTCTTCTGTCAAGGCTAACCATCTCCAGCTCCTTCAGTCTCTCTTCATAGGAGAATACATGCTCAAGCTGTTTGATGGCCTTTCTGCAGACCATAACTTGTAGGCTCATACATGAGTAATTCTTTGAGCAGGAGACCCACACCCCCTTGGCTTTATTCCAGGACCTGGTTAAAGCAAGTTTGATTGAGCCAGGTGCGCTTGGCATATTTTGCCAAAATACCAAGACTGGATTGTGTTCCCAGTCAAGAATAATCAAAAATCATGTTAAGTATTTTCACATGGGTCTCAAGAGAGATTGTTTATTCATGCCAGTTTATAAAGTCCAAGAACTCAAATATTTATGAAACTCAATGCTTTTTGGAATATGGTCCACGTCTGCATATTTTCTCACATCTGCTGTTAGGTCCAAAGTGGCATGGGAGCTGGAAAATATTATGCAATTCAGAGCTTGTCCTTTTAGTCCACAGCAAGATGATTCTCAGAAGTTTTTTAATTCTCATCTCTCTAGATTGATTCAGTCAAGTTGTAGTAATTATAAGGAGAGCGCCGTGTTGCAGGTCTACCTGTCAGATGCTGCAGGGTGTAACCCAGGAAATCTCCAGATTCAAATCTACAGCAACAGACTAGACAATGCAAGAATAACTACAGACGCTTCCACTTAGGAGACAGAAACTTTTGCCTGCTAGATAAAGAAGCTGGTGTTGAGATCAAAGCAATTATCCTCTCCTTAAGCAAGGTCAGCTCTATCTACGAACAGAGCAAGTTATCTCAGATGATGGAAGCTTTGCGGTTAAACACTTCTCCTGAGCCAGTCATACCTCCATTATTCCCGTCTTCCTGAGTTGATGTGCCAGTGTCGGTGACTATCGTTGCTGAACTGAATTGGGCTACTTACCTTCACCCAGTGCATCATGAGCAGAGGTGTTGGAAAAGTTTTCAACTGAGTAAATGGGATACACAGTGATTGTGTGTTGCTCTGCCAAGATACATATGGGTTTCAGTGTTGTCACGTTGCACATTTGAGAAATGTTGCCTGGAAGGGCAGGGAGGAAGAGCAAGAAGGTAGTGTGTAGTCAGCCCTACACCTCCTAGACTTAGGTGGAGTGGAGGGCACTGCCACAATCAAATATTAAGCCTCCAGTCCAGATAGTAAGAAAGTGTAGAAAGACAAGTCATCTTGTTTTTCATCTCTGAAGCAAAACATCTTGGGCCAGTTTTGTCCTCTTGGTTCCATGTTTAGCTCATCCTCTGCTTTTAAAAAATTCAAAATGGAACATCTGGTTTAGAATGTATCAAAATCTGTACCTAAAAAGGATGGAAAGACTCATGGTTTTTTTTGTTTGCAAGGAATATGGCAAAACCTGGAACTGATCAATTTGTCCATTCAAGGTTCATTGGCTTTTCTTCTTTTGCTCCCTCAAAATATTGTGTCACTGAAATTTACCAACAAGCAACAGGTTTCCACCAGTTTTTATTTGTGCAACTTATTTATTTGTACAATTGGTCTAACATCTCAGTCCTCATGGATTCTGGGTGGTTTATGGATATTAAAACAGCAACATTTTGAACAAGAAACAAAATAAAGAAATTATATGAGCCAATAGATTAGCTTAACATACCTTTAAAGTTTTTTTTTTTTTTTAATGAAAGTCCAAAAGGCAGGCTACACACCTGAAAATCCCAGCCCTGCCTACTGTCTCCCATGTTCTTGAACTACCAAAAAAAAACCCCTACAAAAAAACAAAATATGCAAAACAGAACATGGCTGCTTGGCCACAAAAGTTTGCCTACTTTTTACTGAGCAGATTCAGCCACGTTTCTGGCAACTAGGGTTCAAGTTAAATCCCATCTGGTCTCTCTGAGCTGCTTCTGTAATAAAAGTGTTTATATTGAGCTATGGTAAAGCTAGAACATGAATTTTAGTAGCATTTTTATACCCGCCTCCCCTCCCCATGTGAATATAACTATTCCAGATTGGACTTAAAGTAACAAATAAATAGTAATAAATAAAAAAGAAAGGTGTCATTTTATCAAGTCATGACATCCAGTTTTCATTGTTCTTGTCCCCTTTTGCATTCTTTGCAAATCACAGGTTTAGAAGTTAGGAGCTGTATGCCAGCAGAAATGTTTTCCACAAAGATGAAACTCCTCTTGGGTACTGCCCATCATTCTCTACAACAGTAAAACTTCCAGCAAATAGTACGGAAAGTGGTCAAGTGTTGGCATAATGTTAACAATTAAAGGTCTGGGAGAAGTCATAGGTCTTCATCTGGAGTTAGAAACTGGTGAATTTCCCCGGGCAGAAGCTTCCATAAATAGGGTGCTATCACTGAAAAGGCCGTAGTCACCACTAATTCGCCTTGCCTTTCATAGCCTGAAAGAAGTCCTCTGTTGATCATCTCGCTTCACCAGTGGACAGTGAAGATAGGAATCCCTTCAAATACTCTGATTTCTGCTGTCAAGAGCTTTGAATTGCTTAGAGTTGTGCTTGGAGGTAGCTCAGTTCACACATGCGAGTTCCCACCATCAGCTCCGAAAAAGACTTTCAGTTTTGGGCACAGGGTGAAGTTGCACAATGAGAGGCAACTCCACAACTCAAAACGAATGGCTGGGCACATGTTTTGCTCATGTGCTTTATGTAGTCCACATGTGTCTCTCGGTCCATTTCTACTTTTTTTGCTTGGTGAGATTAGGAGTTGGCTAGCTGTGCAGATGACACTTTTCATTTTATTATTAATTTGATGGGCACTGAAAATTAATTCCAGGCCTGAACTTTGGAAAAGGCAGCTTAAACTAAGCTGTGGTTTGCTTGGCTCCTTATGTTGTTTTGGTGACATTAAGTACACTCAAATCTCTTCTTCAGCCTTTCCAGGTTAAAAAACTTTAATTTCTGAAATTGTAGCTATTTTAAGTAAAGATTTAGACTCTCTCTTTTTTTAAAATGCTCAACTCATCTTCCAGGCATTTTGTATGAATTGTGGGGTGTGTTTTTTTCAAGCGTTTTTAATCTTTGGGTATTTCGTCTCCCTCCCCTCCCCTTTTTTTGGGTCAGAGCAAAGAAGATGTTTACTTTGTAGTCTTGAATAAAGAGGAAGGTTCTGGCCTGGGATTTAGCGTCGCTGGAGGAATAGACCTGGAACAAAAATCAATCATCGTAAGTGGTGACTGCATCTTTCTTATAAGTGGGTTGCAAAGCCAGCTGGAAATCAGATCAAGATCTCATTTATCAAGTCATTTGTTAGCTGTAAAATCCTATTGTGAAAGCCTGCTTGCTTCATTTTGTATCCCATCTGTTGATGCTATCAGAGAGGCAAGGGGGCCTGGATGCCAGATAAACTCTGATGCACACGAGATTGCCAAGATAAGCATCCGTGATAGGCTCACACACACATTTTGGGGACTGGAAATCCTAACATTAGCTGTATCCTTGCCTTAATAATTCCAGTCATTCGCCTTGTGTTCCAGGATTCCCAGAGTGTACTTGGACCTGCCACTGGGACATGAGAAAACGTTTTAAAGGGCTGCAAGAAATACATTAATTAAACATTTGAGGTTTCTATAAACTGCACCTACTTAACCTACAGCAATGTTTTAGAATCACCGGATTTGTGGCAATATCAAATAGAATATCACTTATGGAATCCAAATTTAAGTTTTATTTGGAGAACTTGCTTGGTTTATCTATACACCTAGTTTTGATTTTTGTTTTGCTCAGCTACAACCTTTTGACCCAGCTTAGTTTTGGGTGTTAGTGAACAGAGAGGAAGGATGTGCGGAGGGAAGCTCAAAGCATTGGGGGTTTAAAAGGCCCGTGGGAACAAGACGTCTTCATGCAGTGTTCTTCCCAAAGATATTCTGGGATGGAACAGTGGAGAAGTTGCGTCACATCCATGGATGAAACTGGAATTCACTAAATAATTGTTTTAGTTTTTCAGGGAGTTCTGATTTCTCCCCCCTTTTTGCAGTGTTCCCCTTATTTTAGGCTTATACTACAGTTTTTGTGCTTTTTCTAAATGGTGAGGAAACCAACATCAAAAATACAGTCAGGAGAAGCTCTGGGAGTCACAGAAAACAGATTTAGTTGTTCAGTCCTGGGAGTGCAGGTTATCCTCTATTGTAAGTAGAGGGGAAAGTCCTCCATCTATGGGGGATAGTAAAAAAAAAAAAAAAGGACAACGCTCTCAACTTGAATTCTACTCTTTAATTTTGTGTAGAGTTGGCAAAAGTATGGAAGTGGTTTGCCGTTGCCTTCTAGGGTTTTTTTTTCAACTTGCCAGGCTAGCCTACAGACTCAGATTTCCTTGGGGATTTTCTACCCAAGTGCTAAGCAGGCCTGCAGGGCTGAGCTTTGTGGTGGAGAATATGAGCCAAGGGTGGCCATGCCCTACCTGGGCCATATTTTGCATAAACTCCACTCAATTTTATCAGAATTTCCCAGCTAAGCATTCCCTTACGCACTATGCAGGTTGAAGAAGGGGGACTTTACTTTTAATTAGTTCCTGGTTCCTTTCACAAAGCACCATCAGATGGCTTGCTCTTATTCTTACACAGTGGCTGATCCACTATTCTTCCTTTGTGTGTGTGTGTGTGCATGTGCCATTGAGTCAGTGTTGACTCCTGGCGACTGCTGGACAAGTCCCTGCAGTTTTCCTGGCAAGATTTCGGAAGTGGTTTGCCGTTGCCTCCTTCCTAGGGCTGAGAGAGAGTGACTGGCCCAAGGTCACCCACTTGGCTTCATGCCCAAGGCAGAACTAGAACTCACCGTCTCCTGGTTTCTAGCCTGGTACCTTAACCATACACCAAACTGGCTCTTGTTCTTACATTACCTCCTCTCTAATATGTGCAGAGAATTCTACTGTGCCTTTGCTCCAAGAAAGAGAAGCAATGTGACTTCTGAAGCAGAGGCCCAATAGCACTGCCCGCCCTCAGAGAAGAATTGCCTAGCGGATCCCTGCATGAATTAATGCTACAGGGAGAAGCTTACATCTGTATCAGAAATCAATGAGTGAGGAATAGCTACTCTTAAACACTTGCATGTTCAGGCCTCTGACTTTATTTAAAACAAATATATATATATATATATATATACACACACACTCACACATACATACATACACACACATACACATACACATACACATACACACACTGCATCTATCAGAAACCTGGGAGATTTTTAGTCTACCTTCTCTCCAGGTTTTACAGGAAGTAGTTGACCCTTCTATGTGTCTTACATGATTATACCAGTCCTATTTGAATTGTAACTTAAATTTATTTTGTTTTTTTTAAAATTCCATTCAGGAGTTCAGTGCAACTTGCATAGTATTTCTAGGAATTATTTTCTGAATGATTCCATGCATTTTACAGAAATAGATTGGCTTCTTCAGAGTGGTAGAGATGAATACCTTGAGACTGAAGGAAAAGCCTTTGTTGAGTTCAGTTCAGCTCCTGATGACAGTATTATGGTTTGCCACTGTCTCCTTTTGGGTGTTTTTCAAGTTCCCCATCTAGGCCACAGCCTTGGGACTTCAAGGTGTCTCCCATCCAAATACTACACAAGTCCAACCCTCCTTAGCGTCTCAAAGTCAGCCAAGGTCAGCTAAATGCTGCCCCCTGCTGGGACCCTGTGAGACTCGGACTGTGTCCAAGAGAAGTTCGGCTTCAGTGAAGCTTCAGGTGAAGTTCTTCTTTGAGGCTGTGAACAAAATGAAGCTGCCATGTTGGTTTGCTTCACATTGTTTTGAGATTTCCTCTGGTACTTCCATTTGCTAGAAGTAGCTGGAGAAATTCTCCAAAGCAGCCTGAAGGCAAATTGCATAATTCCTGCCCTTGAACGAAGCAAAGAGCATCGTCTTTGTGGAACAAAGAATCTTGTTAACGCAAAGTGCAGCTCCCTTGCCTAGGTGCACTCAAAATCAGCTTCCAAAAAGAGTGTACCTGTCTTGGGAATTTGGCTCAAAATATTACAAGAACCATGTGTTTTAAACATTAGAAGCATTTGTTTCTGAGTTTGGCTGACATTCCAAATGTCGTGCTGTATTATCTTTCCATCAACTTCCACAGAGACTCGGCTCACATGATCAAATTCAACCACATTCTGTAGCTATTTGGAAAGTGGGCAGGTGGTTGGTCTGTTTCACTATAATTGGCACTCTCTGGGCAAGAGGACACATTCCTTTACAGGGGCCGAATCATTTGAAGGATAAAAATGCCCCAGATATGTATATCTATGAGATTTGTGCACACTTTGAGAATTATTTAGGAGATGTGTTTTGGATGTCAGGCAAGCACAGCACCTCCTCGGTTCTCCATTAAAAGCAGCCTGGCTTTTTTTTCCAGGCTTCCACATGAGACTGAGAAAAGGGGCCACTCGTTAAAGGTAAAGTGACTTTTACCACAACCCCAATGTGGTCCATACGATTGTGCATAGCTCCCTCCCTGAAAGTCGGACTGCTTTAATGAACAACAAAGGAGGTACTATGCTTGAATTCCTTTGAGGCCTCATATGAGTGCATTTCATACTTCATTCAAATAATTTCTGGAGTGGGCATGGGGGGAAGATGTTGAAAAAGCCAAGATGGTGGCTGCAGCTGCACAGTTGAAGACCCACCCTTTTTATGCACCTAAAACAGGGTGGGGCTCCAACTGCGCGGTTGGGTCTGTTTTTGACCCGCAGACACCACCCTAATGCACGCATGGACTACATTCAACAACACACTTATGTAAATCCCTACAAATCATGTAGGGACCCAGAAGATGCACTCCCACATAATGCTTAATCAGGATAGTTCTAACCTTCATTAGGGTTGTTGTTTCGGCACAGTCCATAAACTTATCCACTTGGTTATCTTTTGGCTCAGGGTTTTGGGCAGAGTTAATTTTCTGGCATAGATTAAACCTGCTGGTGAATGCAGCTATTCACAGGATGTTGTGATAGCCCATAATGCAGTCTCCCCCAACTTAGTGCCTTCTAGAAGGAATTCCCGGAATTCCCATGCTGATCGGCAATTCTGGAAATCCCTGTCCCCAACATCTGGAGGACAGCTGGGAAGACTGCTGTGTTATGTGCTATTCCCGTCTTTCTTTGGGGATAAAAGATTGATCAGTAACTAGAAGTTATTATAGCCAATAATCCAACTGTTCTCTACTTAGAGTACAAGTACACCAGATTACATGATTTAAAGAAGCTGCCGGCATATAAGGGCTATCTGATAAGGCTATGCAAAATTAAAACTTGATTCAGAAGAAGCACTTTCAACTTTGCCCAAGAGCAGCATTTCTGCATGAGTCTCTAAGAAAGGCGCTGCTGCTTAAGTGTCATCTTAACTTTAATAAAAAAAAAATTAATACAACAGGGACAACTTTTTTTTCATGCTCTCACAGAAGCCTGAAAAAGGACAGACTTCCTTAATGAACAGCAGACAGGTGCTGGGCTTGCATGAGGTCCAAAGCATTTTTTCCAAATAATTTATGAAACTTGCCGAGCCCCATTAGACAGCCCTTTGGTGATCACAAACTTTGTAATTCTGTGACTACAATATCCTTGTATAGGTTTGATAGGAGACTGGCTAGCTCTGTTATGCCTGGCTTGAGAGCTTCCCCAGGGACAGAGTGCTAGCCTAGAATGGCCTCTACGTAGTTGCAGTGATTTAGTCCATTCCTTCTTAATCTTCTGAAAAGCATCATAGTTTGCTTCCAAAAAAAAACATGTCTCTAATTAACAGTATCAGGGAAGTATTCCATAATAAATTGGAATAAATTGAGCTGCCAATCTACATATTCAGTAGATTCATTGGGCTTCATTTTTAATCAGTTCAGCTGATAATTCAACATGTCTTTGTTTCTTTAACATTTTAATACTTTGCTTTAGGTTTGTTGTTTTACATTTCATAGTAAACGACAAATAAAATGCTACAGCTAGTATTGTTAATAACAGGAGCCAGATTCTGTTAAATTGGATATTGTCTCACATTTCTTCCAATGGTTCAAAAGACACCATTACTGAAGTTCTGTTTGTGTGAAGACTAGAAACTGGGAGACTGGTTCTAGTCCTGCCTTAGGCATGAAGCCAGCTGGGTGACCTTGGGCCAGTCACTCTCTGTCAGCCCTAGGAAGGAGGCACTGGCAAGCCACTTCCAAAAATCTTGCCAAGAAAACTGCAGGGACTAGTCCAGGCAGTCACCAGGAGTCAACACTGACTGAAAGCATTCCCCCCCGCCCCAAAATCATAAATCAGTTAGTTAACTGGAAAAAAGAGAACCTTTTAAGCTAACAATTTTTTGATCCATTGACAATCTTCATCATAATGTGTCTTCTTGAAGGTCCATCGGGTGTTTTCAAAAGGGGTGGCCTCCCAGGAGGGGAAAATTCACCGTGGTGACCTCATTCTTTCTATCAATGGCACTTGTTTGGCGGGGTCTGTCCACGGGGATGTACTCAACGCGCTCCACCAGGCCAGGCTCCATAAATATGCCATCGTGGTCATCAAGAAGGAGAGAGACAGAGGAAAGATGCCTCCTCCAAGCTCTGAAAGGCCTACTTCTGATAGGCCAACTTTGGTGGCTGCAGCCATGGGAAGTGAAGCAGGTACTGTACAGTATGAGTTCAGTAGCATTTGAAATGAATTCACCCTCCCCTCTACTCTACCAAGAAATCATAGCAGATGATGGGAAGAATTGCCCCCATATGACTCATACTCTAATTGTAAATTTTTGGATGGATCAAGTGAAAATATGAAAATACTTTCAAGTTGTCAGTTGGACTCCTTTAGAATCCAAATAACCCTTTGAAAAGTAGGAAGATACTTAATTATCCCAGGCCCAAACAGAACTGAACTGCTAGATTTTCATTCAGAACAGTTGGAAATCTGACAGTGGCTCTCAGCTTTTGGTTTATGAATTAGGCAATAAATATGAATGTTTTATTTCCAGAGACATTTAGATTTATATGCATTTGTATAATCCAAGTTCAAGTATTCCAACAGCATAGCTGAAGCCCTGTTCCCACAGCTAAAAAAAAAAGTCTCAAATTGTCTGTTTTCCATTCCAAAGAATGGAAATAACATGAGGAAGGAAAGACTGCAAATTATGATTTATACTTTCCAAAGAGTTGGGGAACCAGAGATGTCTCTGATGCATTGTCAAGGGCTGTTTTGTGTTCCTTTTGGTATGACCTCTTAGTTCTGGTGATTAACCTACATTTGATCATTAGAAGATCATTGAGTGAGTTTTCTGAATTTTTTCTCCCCAAAGTTCCAAGTGGAGAGTTGAACGGTGCCATTTGTGTTGAACTTTTGAAGACTTCTGCTGGCTTGGGTTTCAGCCTGGACGGAGGAAAAGCTTCAGTATCTGGAGACAGACCTTTGTTTATCAAAAGAATTTTTAAAGGTAACTTGGACAATTTTCTGAAGATCCTGTTTTTTCCTTTGCTGAAGACAGTCTGAAATCTCACTGCCCCCTTTTGCACATGTGAATGGCCCCCATTCAATGGGATTTTCTGCACAAGTTTTGCAAAAACAGAACAGAGACCCATCTCCCCTGAAGAAAAGATTCATGTCAAGTTAACAAAATGGTTAACAAATAACAGGAAGTGAACAGTCCAGTTCACTTCCTGATATTTGTATTGTTCAAAATTCCAGCTTGCTAGACTTCATCCAACCAGCCAGCCGATTCCTAATCTGTTTTCTCTATAACACTATTTTCACCCTGCTTACCAAAAATGTTCAGTGCATCTTTCAAGCAAAGTAACCTACAGCAGTTTCGTACCGTGAACTATAATATAGTTCTTAATGCTAGAAATCAGGACATTTTTTGCGCGCCCTTCTTCAGTCTTTCTACCAATCTTCACTTTGATATCTCTGCCAACAGGTGGTGCTGCTGAACAAGCTGGAAAACTGGAAGCTGGTGATGAAATTCTTGCGATTGGAGGGAAATCCCTGGTTGGGCTGATGCACTACGATGCATGGAACATAATCAAGTCTGTCCCAGAGGGGCCCATCCACTTGCTCATCAGGAAGCATCGGCCACCAGAATGATGGATCCAAACCACTGAGTTTGACTTAGCTTTTGAGCACAACCTTACAGTTTTGTTTGCCAGCACCATTCCATACATTGCAGGAGGTGGAATGGTGGCTTCTGGGATGTTATTCTACTAGGTCGGAAAGGTTTAATCAGCCGAGAAGCATCGAGCTACACATGCAGGACTGGTGTCAAGCGCTGGCATGGTCAGGCAGCTACCTGGTGCTCAGACCTCATTAGAGGGCCTGTGCGCATAGTCTGGTTCTCTTAATTGAAGTCAGCTTGTTCACTGAAGAAGAAAACAAGCAACTTAGCAGCAGCAGAAGCAGGAACAGGAACAGGAGTCATCATAGTGGTTACTGCCTACACTGGTTCTCTGGGTAGCAGCAGCAGCAACTAATAAAAACTGAGATATCTTCAAGAGATCCCCTAAACCCTGGAGCGGACCTAAACGAGGAACTGTTTTAGCATGCGTTCTTGTTTTGCAAATGGTATCCTGCTTCCCACCCCTAGGTGACATAATTTCCCCACAGATTTCCATCCAACCAAATCTCGTTTCTCCCTTCTTGCTGATTTCTCAGTCAACCTTTATTGCAGCCACTCAGAAGCAACGCTTTGTGTCTATGCTCTGCTCTCTCTTTTCAGTACGCCCAGGGGCTGGGGGAACATCGGATATGAAAAGACCATGAAGGAGCGGGTGCAAAGTGCATCTCCATCTAGTCTGAACAGCTGATACCAAACTCACAGATCCAGAGCAATAGGGGAAAAAATCCCTGCATTTTATAAATCAATTGATGGTTGTCTGTGTCCTTTGCTTTTAATGCCAAAGATGGCACAATAAAGTGTTTTGCATTGGTTGTATGGAAAGCTCAGTAGCATACCTGGGGGTGGAGGGGGGAGATTGCATCTGGTTTTTTCTTACTATAATCCAAGGAGTTTCCATATCTTCCTTTCCATCACACGGAATGGTCGTTCCCAGCATTTTTAGCTCACTGAGTGTGAAGCTCCCAGATTCAGTTCTGGGCATCTCCAGTTCAGTGGTCTTGGATATCAGAACCTGCAGAACTGGAAAAGGGTTCTGCCAAAGATCCAGAAGAGCTGCCAGCTAGAACAACCAGTGCTTGGCTTAGAAAGACCAGTGGCCTGATTTGGTGAAAGACATGTTGATATGGAAGCCACTGCCCCACAAAGGACACCTCAGGTTTAGCCATGAACTCATTCTCGTGGCCCTTATTAAACTCTTAGCTCTCAAAGAGAAGTATCTGCCGTAACTTTTGTAACTGATAACTATTTATTGGGAAACGTACTATGTATTAGGAAACTTGAGTGTCTTTCAAAAAGTCTGATTTGAATGTGTCTGATATTTTTACACTTTGCAACTCAAACTGGGTGATGAAATGTGTCTAACGTGGATGACTGCAAGGGCTTTCTAGATATACCATGTAGTTTTGACTTCAGCTGCTTTGTGGGTCCAGCATGCTTTTAGTTTAAAAAATGAGAATGTCTGGAAAAATATATGTTTTCTATTGTGGAGGTGAGAATTTTTTGAGGACTTGGGGAATGCTAATGAAAATGTCTCAGCTGTCAACGTTAAATCACCAAACTTGGCTATGACACTATGTGCACATTGGAGATAGATACAGGGAGAAAATATAGTTACAGACAATTGGTGTTTTTCCAGGACGGTTTAGTAGGGATATAACGTTCAGAGTTTATAATCCAAAATCACAGTTGGTGGCCTCTAGAATTTAAATTAGAAGAATGGAACTTATACTGTCTTCCTAATGTCATGGGAAGTTTACTTTATTAAAATGAAGCAGTAAACCAGGATCACATTTTTAAAGAAATATACTTTTCGTTTGCCTAAAATGGCATTCAATACTTTTGAGATGGAATGGAAGGAACAGTTGGCAAAGACAGTTTCAGACATGAAGGTAAAGATTTCTTTGAGTTGTGCTCAACTCCTCATAACTACATGGATGTATCCATTTTTTTTAGCAATGGTATGAAGTGGGTTGCCATCCCCCTCTTCATTATTATATGTAATAAATATATTACTTCCTAGTGTAACGTACAGCCTTGGTATTTCCTGTTTACTCATCCAAGTACTAGCCAGGTCTGACCCGCTTAGCATTTCTGAGATCAGCTAAGGTTGGCTAGGCGTCTGTTGCTGCAGAGAGAGTAAAATTTCCTTTGAGCTCAGCTCAGCTCCTGATGCCTACTTGGTCACATCCATGTAGTTCTCTTGACAATTGTATGAGGTGGCTTACCACTGCCTTCTTCAAGGAAACTTTTTTTTTTGCCTTGACTTTTCATTCCAGTCTACAGCCCAGATTTCCTGGTCGTTCCCCATCTAAGAGCTAACCAGGTCTCATCTGCACAGCTTTCTCAAGAACAGCCGTGTGCTGCCACCTGCTGTGGCTTTCGAAACAAAGAGAAAACAGACTACGAGACCAAGCCTGAAAGTGTGGATTTTTCTGGATTTCAATTCTATGTGGCCATAACGTTCAATATCCTGTTTTAAAATGTTGGGTTTAGCAGCTTTTTGTGCATCTGTGGTAGCAGTTTCTTAAATAGGCTGTTAGCGATTCTGTGGGATTGCATATGCTCCCTCTAGATTGTGGAAAATGTGTATGTAGTTCACAATCTCAAAATGAACAGAAAATTATGGTTGTCTTCGCACTTCGCCACAGCATCACATACACGAATTCTGAATAGTTCACACGTAGTCAAAGCACATGCCTGACAAATCCTTTTAATGGGTAAATTATTTTAGGCAGAGAGCTAAACGTAAGGGAGGCTGGCCTGGTTTTGTTTTGCCTTGTTTTTAAATAAACCAGGATGATCGGAGGAGGGGGGAAGCATGCATCAGCACAACGCGGTATGATAATCCTAAATAAATGAATGGGGGAATTAGTTTTCAAGGAAATGATAAATACCAGAAATTAATTGAGTATATATCTTGTTCCTGTTGCCTTAAATTCCTGTGTGAGTTTCAGGGACATACCCTCAATTCCAGATTTTGAAAACCAAATGAGGTTTATATTTATGATGAACCTGTCTACACCATGCCATTCCATCCTTGTTGTGAGTGGATTTATTTTGTATATTTGTCTGAATCCATGTATCCACAGGGAGGGGTTTAAAAAAGTCAAGATGGCAACTGTTACCAATGTGATTCAAGCCCAACCCCATTTTTATGTGCATCACGATGCATGTAAAAAGAGGCTTTGTTTGCACAATCACGGTCTCCTGCATGACTTTTTGGAAACCCCCTGCAGATGACCCCCCAATCCATATGTGCATTTGCAAGGAGTGCTTTTGGAAAAAATAAATGCATCTAATGGAGATCTTTAAATCTGACTAATTGATTGCAATCCACTTTCCTGCCCTTGCTGGCAAAATGTATTTAATCTGGTTAGCCCTAACTCAAGTCAGATATCTGGTCCAGCACCTCGGACAGCACACCTTCATGCTAACTCTATCAAAATTCACCATTTCCACCAGTTAGCAGGATTGCATTGCACAGCCCTGTTCACTTTCTCCAGGAGGGACTTGGTATACCACCAACCCCTATAATCAGACTGGCAAGGCAAGGCCTCATTATACCCTCTGTCCCTTCTCTATTGGCTAGGCAGGCAGCAGAAGGTGGGGCTTGGGGCCCTGCATCCAATCAGTGGTTGGGAGGGGTGTTCTGCAAGGGAGAAGTTTGCTTTTCAGGGTCTCTGTGTTGGATTGGGACAGTTTGAAAACTGAGGCTGAAGGGAGCTTAAACAACCATTGTCTGCCCCACGTTAATGTTTGCATAAAATACTTAACCTCCCTTCCCTGCCTCAACCCCATTTATATAGAAATGCTACATTGAAATCCTGATTCTGTATCACCATCTGCAAAAGTCTTCCTCAGCCTGCTATTTCCTTCTCTTTCTTGTTAACAGCAGACTATCTCAAGCTGGTGCCATCCAGAGGCATGGGAACTACAAGCCCCAGAATTCTGTAGCCAGTGTGGCCAAAGGGATTCTGGGAGTTGTAGTGCTGATATGACGTGAAATTAGAAAAGGGGTTAAATTAGAGCAATCTGCCTCAGAGAGGGGGCAGCAAAGGTGAAACCTGAGGGCGGGCTGATACATTGTCCACCATTGCACTGTTGGCACGGTTCTGTTTCTTCCCTTCCACAATTGCTGGGATAAAGATACATTTAAAACCTAGTTGCTTCATGTGCGAATTCACCATCAGCCACTTGATGTATACCTGAAAAGTGAACTTAATGTGTTGTAATTTTATAGATATTAATTTGGAACCGTTACAAGGGTATTATTCAGAAAGTATTCAGACTGTGTATGTCTCTGTTCACCAGACACAAGAGTTAATTATGTGATAAAATGATGGATATCGCTTAAAAGTTATGATTAATTTTATTTTTATGCTGTCTTCTACCTTGCTCTAGACATCAATTATCTGTCCCTATTACGGATGAGCTGTCAGCCTGATAATAATCATTTTGGATTAGTGGATTTGAAATTAGCATATCGCAGAAGCTGGGTGGAATATATATTCCTCATGTCACAGAAAGTGGCACCTTGTCGGAAACCAATGGAGCAAGGAAGTAGTACAAAGACATAATGAAAGTTGGGAGAACTCAGAATCCCACCACAATAGAAGCGATAGTAAACATCTTGTGAATTATAGAGTACAAACTATCATGCTAATTTCTACCTTTGTAACATTCATGTGATTCCCATAAATGTTACAAAGCCACCCAGACATAGGTTTGCTACCCCTCTCTTACCCAGAGAGCGTGGGGTGGGTGTCAAAACAGTCAAGATGGCTTCTGCAACCATGCGATCCAAGCATCTGATTCGTGTAAAAAGGGGGCGGGGCTTTGCATCGGTTCAGCCGCCATCTTGACTTCTTTTACCTCCCTTGCGGACACCACTGCCTCCTTTTGCCCTTTTGTATGAGACAGGCCACAATTCTCCATACACTTTAGGCGTAGTTTTTAACTGCAACCCATTACTTCCAGTACGATATTGCATATTAACACTACAGTTTATATAAATATGTCCTTCGTGTTCAGATTATTTTTAAATGCCTTGTTGTAAAAAGAGAAGTGCAATAATAGGAAGGAAACTGTGTACCTTTCCAAATGTGCTTTACTCCCATTGTGTGAATGAACATCTCTTAAAAAAAAAAAACTTTCACTGCAGTTTTTTTTTTTTTAGTGACTTCGGAAAATAAATAATAATGTTACTTTATTGGTTTATTATTGTGTTGAAATGCAGGAATCTTAACGTAATTTTTATTTTCCAATATGTCGCTCGTCTTACAGTCTTGACACTTTGCTCAGTGAACACATTGTGCTAACCTCTCATTTGCTCAATCGTGGTTTGTTTAAATCATAGTGGCCTAGGTTTGAAAAACATACTACTTCATCAAGCATGGGCTACAAAATATAATGGCTTGATTCAAACAAGATGCGAAGCCGTGGTTGAAAAGCCCACATTATACCTAAATATGTTGGCAAGGGCATCCTCACAAGGGTGTCAAAAACTCAAAATGGAATCTTTATTTACAAAAATGGCCCTTTTTTCCCCATGGAGGGCATATCCACTGAAACACAGTATTTTACCAGAAAATTAACCCCACCCCACCCCCATGATATTTCTATTATCTTAGTGGGGCTTTTGTGGGACCCAAGGTTATTGCAAAGCAGTGAATTATATTTGTTTTGAATCATGTTAGCTTCCTATTTGTTTATCCTTTATTAAAATAAGTTGTGGTTGTTGTTTTTTTAAGTCAGGCGGTACAGGAAATCTAGTGACTAGCAAGCAAGGGCTGAGAGCCCCCAATAACACATTCAAAATTCTCAATTTGTTTGCAACCTAGCACCAAATGAATAAATAAATCCTACCCTACCCCCTGTTTGCCCATTAGGTGGCAGTGGGTGCAGCAATATAGGAATGACAGCCAGCAGTTTTACTCTTCTGGCTTAACCCTTGAAAGGAAACACTCTCTCTCAACCTTACAGCAGCTTTGCAACCGTTTCCTAACGTATTGTACACTGTTGGAGATTTGCATTCATCTGGGGCCTTTGTTAGGGAAGATGTTCGTGAACAGAAGCAGTGCTGATAATCAAATGTTAATAATTCTGCTAATCGATTATGTGCCATTGAGTCATTTTGGACTCCTAGAAACCACACAAATAGATTATTTCCATGAAGATCTGTCCCTAACCAAGTCCTTCAGGGCCTTCCAAAAGTGCAATTCTGCTAATAATTATTGTTAATACTAATGAAGTCTTAACTGCTTGTTGCTTCTTTAAATTTTCTCATATTTTGCGGGGACTCTATTATTTTACATTTTGGAGTGGTTTGAGGTTTGGGGTTTTACAATAGTTTTGGTTATTTCTCTAAACAGTGTATCCTAGAGCAGGGCGTGCATATTGTGTATTGCTGCACGCCCACAAACACAGACACATTCACATAAACAGATGAAGCATTATGAAAGGCTGGGCGCAGGAAAGAGGAAAAAAGGCCAGCAATTGGGCAATACTTGGTGTTTACAAGCACCGGAGGGTGGCATTGTTCTGTTTCTTGCTGCCAAAGTTGGCATATTTCACTAAGTATAAAATCACAAAGTGAGATTCCCTTTGGTTTCTGACACAGCATTCTCTGGGGGGCAAAATCACAATAGCTTCTGACACATTTTAAAAATGCCTACAAAACTAGATGCATGCAAGGGTTTAAAGTTAACTGCAGTTCATTACACAATAACATTAGAACCTATGACAGTGTTTCTCAACCTTGGCAGCTTTAAGATGGGTGGACTTCAACTCCCAGAATTCCTCAGCCAGCCTTGCCAAGTATTCCCCCTCCACCCAGCTTAAAGTTGCCAAGGTTGAAAAACCTTAACGTAAGGTGTGAGAGAGAGGTGGCTGGATTTAGATAGTGACACATTATCTCCTTTCCCCCACAACTCTGGGCCTAGGCAAAAATTATAGGAAGCATCTTCAGTAACAGACAACCTATGCATGTCCTGTTTTAATTTCAATTTCTTTTTCTAAATACAGAAGGAAACAGGAACATCTAAGTACCATTGCATCATTCATGTTGTGGTCACAGTGCATTCGACCTGTTCACGTGGCCTCCGAGTCACTTTTTATGGCTCACAAGAATACCAGGGAAGAGTCAGAGCTGCAGGACACATGTTTCTCAGTTTGTGAGGCTGTCTAAAAAAGATTGCCCCAAAGCTCCCTGCCCATTTCAAGGAAACTGAAAGCAAAGGCGGGGTGTTGGTATTGTCTCACTGGCAAGGTAAAATGATAAGCACACAACTCACAAACAGTGGGAGCATAACTGCTGAAGATGGGCATTTGCCCATCTGGCTACCAGGGGCTAAGGATCCTTCCTTGGGGCACCAAGAGGCAGTTGACCTTCCCCACTTGCTTGCTAAAGCTTTAGGTTTAGCAGAAAGTGGGGCTCATGGCCTATCTAGGGTAACCTTACTCCCTTGCCCTTCCAGGGTACCTCAGGGAGAGAGACCCACTGATCATGGCCAATAATGGGGCCCAGAAAACCAGGCAGGGTGATGACCTGGGGCTGGCTGGGGTGGGAATTGGGAGGGAGGCCCCTCTGCCTGGAGTTTTCATGCCACCGCATTACCACTGGGTTCCCGGGAGTCTGCTCTGCAGATCCAACGGCTTCATTCAGAACAGTGTTTCTCAACCTTGGCAGCTTCAAGACATGGACTTCAACTTCCAGAATCCTGGAAGTTGAAGTCCACGCATCTCACAATTGCTGAGGTTGAGAAACACTGATTTAGAACTTTTATACGGCTGCCATCTCAAACAACGGTTCTTACCAGTGCGTAAAAAGGCTTCCGTGTTGCAGCTCTTGTAATCAGGCAGTTCTGGTGCTGCAAATAATTTTCCAGTTTGAGTTTGAGATCCCAGCTCTAAAAGTTGCTACAAAACTCTTTGCTGTTGTAGCATGTTAACATGGTTCTCCCCCAGAATAGGGATCTAAATTAAAACCTTTACTTTTAGATTACTTTTCCTTATTCATTTCCATTTCTGAAACCACACTTAAAAAGTTTCAAAAGCTCTGGAGCAGAACAGAACTTTACTGAAGGTACTTTTTAATTGTGTTTATATGTTACCTTTTCTTTGGGAGCTCAAGACATACAGGGCATCGCCCCTCATTTTATCTCCAGCAACATTATCCTTGTATGGTAAGATCCACTGAGAGAGAATGACTGATCTGAAATCACTCAGAGACCTCAAGGGTAGAGATCTGAAGCTGCGACTCCATAATCCAAGACCAGAAAATTAGCCTCTACATTGCAAGTGGTGTATGTGTGGCTCTCCGGAGGCTGGAGAACAATTCCTGGCAGCCTAAGCCAGCATTGCCAATAGCAAGCCACATTATGGGGCTGAGTGTCTCCAAGATGGCGGTCATAAAGTGAAGATTATGGTTGCAATTGTGTGATCAGTGCCCTGCACCTTTTAAAGTCCATTGCATGCGTGTCACATGTAAAAAAAGGGATATGGTTTTGAATGCACACACACCATTTTTACTTTTTTGACCACCCACCCCTGTGTAGATGCTCCAGATGTTCAGTGCCCTCTGGAAGGCCAAAACTACTTATGGTGCAGAGTTTACATCACTGGATTTTGACCAGGGAGATCTGAATGGCAGATGGAATTCCATCTTGCATTCACATATATAAGCAAGATGGATTACAGTTGGAACAAATAAAGGTAGAGTCACCTAGGCAAGTCAGTTAATAGCCAGCAAAAATAAAATCCACCCTTCCTTATCTCTATTTGCTTGGCTTTGGAAATCAGGACATCGCCACCTGGGGAAAAAGTCCTTGTATTTGATCTCGACACAATGAAGCCTTGAAAAACTGCAATCCAGGACACTTTATCTGGAAATAAACCAGTGGGGGTTCCTTCTGGATAGATGCTCATAAGAGCCATCGCTATCCCAGAGATCGTTATAAGCACAGGTTAACCCTCGCTTTAAAATAGAACTTCAAGCATTAAGAGGCTGCTGTTAACAGCCCTGCAGGCTTTGGATCTGGACAAAAGGATTTGTGCTGGTGGCAGTTTCACTCAGAAATTCAAAATTCAGTTCCGTAAGTCTATGTAGCTACTGTTTCTCGGTCAGCTGTTTGTCACTACCAGCTGAGACATAATTTTTCTCCCCCTGAGTAATTTTTTACCCCTCCAGGAACAAAGGATAGATGTAGGTAATAAAACTAACTTTATCATCTAGGCTCTCTGAGTCACAGTTCACAGCAATTACACTCATGTGCCGGGAAGGGTAGCAATCAATCATGATGACACACCCGCCATCTTGAAGATTTTTACACATACCCCTGTGGTGTTCCTCATCCTCTTTCGTAGGCCCATGGCAGAGTTCTGCACTGCTTACGATTCAATTCCAAAAAACCACACCTGCTAAAAGCTTGCAGACAAGAGCTCTATTTGCATGTCCCACCACCCTGGAAAACTTTTGGGGAACTGATTCCAATGCACTGCATAAGATGCATTGGTTTCACCCAACACTATCAACTTAATCTGCCTCCATCCCTGAGTCCATGACTCCACTATAAATGCAGCAGTTTATTTCAGGAGCACCCATGCTTTTTGGAGGCTGGAGAGGGGCGAAGACAGTTGAGGAGCAGCATCTGCACGAGGTGGTTGAGAAAGTCAAGTGTGCAATTGAATACAACAGGGTAAAGGCCTGGCTACTTTTTATGGGCATCGTGGAGCTTCCTTTGCATCTTTATGGCTGCCATCTTGATTTTTTGATCATACCCTGCAGATGCCCTTGCACTGGAGGAAAAATTAAAAGTTGGTCATCCCAAAGGTTCTGGAAGGTGCCGTGTTGAGAGGAGGCTGATGTAGGTTGGTGAGGGACCCTTCGTCCCGTCTACAGCGTAAGACAGCCAGTAGAAATGTCCACGGGCCATGGTTAAAAAAAGTCAAGAAGGCAGTTGTGATGGCACAGTTGAAGTTCTACGTGGCTTTGATGTACATTGCACGCACAAGACACATAAAAACCAAGTGCAGGTTCAGTTACGCCATCATGGCCATCGTTTTGACTCTTTTGATCACAGACACCTCTGCCAGCCAGACCCTGTTCTGCCTGGGGACCTGCTGGGCTGAAACTGCTGAGAATTGCAAATCTGGAACCTCCT